GGTTGTAACACACATCACACCACCCAGAAGCAGCCAGCCTCATAGAATACTGGAACAGCCTTCTAAAGGCACACCTGAATTACCAGCTCAGAGGCAACATCCTGAATGGATGTGGTGCCATCCTCAGGATGCAGTATATGCTTAAATCAAAGACTTCTATACGGTGCTAAGTCCCCAATAAGAAGAACACATGGGTCCAGGAACAAAGGTGGGTGGGGAACAGAAGTGGCCCTGCTTACCATCACTCCCAATGATCCAATTACAATGAGGAATTTCATGCTTCCCTTCCTTGCAACTCTGGGTTCTGCAGTGTGGGAAGTTCTGGACTCCACAGGGTACACACACTCTTGCCAGGGGACACAGCAAGTGTCTCCTTGAACAACAAGCTGTAGTTATCACCAAGATACTCTGGACTACTTGTGCCCAGGAACCAGAAAGTCAGCATACTGGCTGCGGTATTTGACCCTACTTAGCTAGAGAAGGTAGTGCTGGTTTACAATGAGGACAGGGAGAATATATACGGAATCTAGGTGGTCTACATGGGTGCCTCCTGGTATTCTCTTGCCTCTTGATTCCAGTGCTTTATGACACAGCAGCCACTGCTTTCTGAAAAGGGTGTGGTATGATTGCCAAGAGCTCTGACTCTCAGGAATGAAGGTTTGGGTCACAACACCAGGGAGGCCACCAAGGCCTGCCAAAATTTAGAATTTAGAATGAATAGTGGATTAGGGAGAGGAGGAGTACCAGTGTAAACCTGAAACCAACTGCAGCATCAGGGGCTACTGTCTGTCCCACTGACTTTCCTATTCTAAATCTTCCTTCAGAAGGAGAACTTTAGAGGAACCATGGAGGAGCTGCCCCTGAACTTGCTTGTAGAAATAGATCTCTGCGGTGCAAGGGATGGATTATAACGGCCATGAAAAATGCACAGCTCAGATCTGCTGTGCCCAGGCAGCACGGTGACCAAGCACAATATGAGTACTAACGAGGTTCCATTCCTAAGAGTTGTGGAACTCCTTTAATGAGAGATTTTACATTAAGAACTCTCCATTAGCCTGGCCAAAACTTTCTTAGAATGGCACTCCAGGCTGAGACCTTCCTTATCCAATCCTCTTTCCTTTTCCCCCTCTTCTTACAGATGTCAGACTCTTACCACAGTCTGAAGGTGCTCTCTGCTTTCTCTTGCTCCCTCTTCCTTTATCCTCCACAGGCAGTTCCCCCAATAAATTTCTTCCTTAGGAAATGCTGTCTTGGTGCCTCTTTCTCAGAGAACCTAAATTAACATGAGAGCTAACTATTATTATTTTTATTATCTGAAGTTCTCTACTTTTTTCCTTAAATGTAAAGACCCCAGCGGGGGCAGGGTATACACTTGGGTCCAAAAGTAGTCCTATACTCTTGGCACTATACCATAGGAAGTATTTCTCAAATTCCTAGTAGTTCTTTTAGTATTCTTAATAACATGTGTACATATAAAGATATATACACACACATATACCTACACTTACATATATTCATATACATATATATACACCATATATACATATATATATATATCCTTTGTACAAATGTATCCTTGTACATTTGTTATCTGCAGAGCAAGGATTCTTTGCGTTGGAAGCTATCACAGTTCTAGTAAATTTTTTACATCCTTGTCTGCTGTTCAAAAGGCAATACATATTCATTTAAAAAATAGTAGTAAAATAAAGCAAAAATGTTATAAAATAAGCTGAGTAGGGATTAGGGGAAGAGTAGAAGACAAGGGTATCTATACTGATTAAAGAATTTTTAAAAATCAGCAATAAAAGAGAAATGAATTACTGATACACTCAATAACATGGATAAATCTTAAAAATGTTGAGTGAAAGAAGCCAGACACCAAAGACTATACTCTGTATGACTCCACTTATATAAAATTCCAGAAAAGGCAAATCTTATCCATAGTGACAGAAAGATCATCCATGATTGTCTGGAGCCGGGGAGATTGACTGCAAAGGGGCACAAGCAAATTTTTGCGGTGATGGCAATGTTCTATATTTTGATTGAGGTAGTGGTTATACGAGTGTGTGTATACTTTTATTAAAACTCATTTAACTGTACACTTAAAATGGGTGCATTTTACTGTACAGAAATTATGCCTTAGTACAGTTGATTGAAAACAAGAAAAAAAAACGTGATTTTCAACTTTGGAAGAAACTTGGGTCAAAATATCCTGCTTCATCCAGGCCACCAACTTTTCTTCCTGGATTTTGCAATACCCTTCTGACTGGATTCCCTTATAGGAATAAAGCTTCCCTTCAATCTGTTCTTTACTCTGCAAAGTGATGTTTCTAAAAGAAAATGTGATTAAGTTACTCCCAATAACTAACATTCTTCTTCATATGTATCAGTCAGGGTCAATCAGAGAAACAGAACCACTAAGACAGATATAGATATGGATACTTGTTCTAGGGATTTGACCTTATGCAATTATGAAAGCTGGTTAAATGGTCTCTGTAAGGCTATTATGTTAACCTATTATCTTCTGATGCTGGAGTTTGAAGTGCACACGGCAGGCAGTTAGGAAGGGAAGATGGATATAAACTTCCAATAACTGGAACCCAGAACCACAAGAATGAACTGAAACCTGTCAGTTCTTATTGCCCTTGACCTAGGCGGTATGGGGGAGAAGCCCGGGCCCTTCATTACCGTGGAGCTAAACACATACCTGGCCCAGAAGTCAGGAAACTGAAGGAGGATCCAGGGCAAGATAAAGCAGTTGCAGGCTCTGCCACTGCCTCACATCAAGGCGGTGAGCCAGCAAAGCCACATGTATGAGCTACAGAATGGCTGCGGCCTCACTTACACCCTCCAAATCTCCCACAAGAATCTTTCACCAGCCAACCCTAACCAAAAACATACAATAAAGAGAATTCTGGGAAATGCAGCTCAGCCTAGTCAAGTTGACACATTACAAAACAATCATAACACCCCAAACCTTATATGGCTTCCCATTACTCTTACTGCCTTAACAAAACTTATAAGGTTGTGACCTGATTCCACCAGATTTTCTGGCTTTATCTCCTACCCCCCTGACCTCCAACTCAAGCTTTTTTTTTTCAAAGATTTTATTTATTCATTTTTTTCCCCCCAAAGCCCCAGTAGATAGTTGTATGTCATAGGTTCACATCCTTCTAGTTGCTGTACGTGGGACTCGGCCTCGCGTTGGACGGAGAAGTGGTGCCTCGGGGCGCGCCCGGGATCCGAACCCGGGCCGCCAGCATCAGAGCGCGTGCACTTAACCGCTAAGCCACGGAGCCGGCCCTCAAGCTTTATATATTTATGTTTAGTACAAATGTTCTAATTTTTCTGACTTTTCCATGCTATTCCTCCTGGCTAGAATACTCTTCCTTCCTTCTCTTTCTTCCCCCTTAACCTGGCTGAGACCTATTCACTCTATGGCCTCAGCTTCTTTTAGGAAACCTTCCCTGACACATCACTGTATCTTTGGTGGCTAGTACAAAACCAGGTCCATATTGGCACCCAACAAATTTCAGTTGAACAAATTAATTCGTGCCAACGAGAAGTAAAACTGATTATGGCTGAATGAACATGGCTAGAGTCTTAGGTGTATAGGGGATAAAATGCTATAGTCAAGGTCAGTGGGTAGACAATATATTCAGCCCATTAATATGTGGGGAACACTTTTCACTTCTGCAGAAATATACACATTCCATTCATTCACTTATTCACTCTATCCCTTTGATATACGAACCCCGATTGCAACACAAACTTACTGTCTTAGTTTGAGTTTCCCAGAAAGCAGAGCCTAACACTGGGTACTTTGTTTGGGAGGTGATTCCTAGGAGCAGGATTAAAACTCAGGGAGGGCGGACAGGGAAGGAAAAGCCAGTAAAGGGAGTCACATTGAGCTGGTTAATGCTGTGAGCACTGAAGTTTTATGACTGGAAACCATCTGAGGAACTGTGTAGAACCTGAGATATCGCTCTGAAAGGAGGCTGAGGCACTTACCCACCAACTCTCACTCTTTATTGGGCGAATGTTGCCTCTAGGGAACTTATCGCCCTCTCCCTCCCAACACTTCCAGCTGATGGCGATGAATGAGATCTCTCGGCTTCAGAAAAAGCCCCATGGGGGAAAAGGAGAGGCACCACCAGCACTTGTGGGATGTTGGAGGCAAAAACAAAAACTATCTACCACAGCTGCAGTAAAGCTAGAGGTGGGCCAAGGTGATGCGGCTTGAGTCACCAACAAGTTCTGCTCCACGTCCCAAGGACCTTTATCTCCATTAATCACTAGGTGTCACCATAAATACAAAAAGAATAAGAAATGCCAAACCAATTTCACTTCCTTCTTTCAGAGAATTGATGGCTGGGAGTTTAGGGAAATTCCACCAATTTACTGAATTTCAGTATAGATAATATGAAGAAAAGAGAGCTAGCTAGGTAAGGGGTAAATAGATCACTGCTGGCTGACTGCTTTATTCAATGAATGTTGGTCAACAATGCACACTTCCAGTTATATTTGTATTCCTTCTCTATATATTGTATGGGAACAGTGTGCTTGGAGTTGTACACTGCAGCAACCCTGCCTAGCACAGAGAAGCTACTCACCAAATGTTTGTGAAAAGGACAGGAGCAGGTGAAATGTCATAAAGAGCTGGTTGACCTAGAGTATTAGGAAAACAGATCAGTGGGTTCTCACATGGGGGCTGTTTTGCCCCCCAGGAAACATTTGGCAATGTCAAGAGACATTTTTGGTTGTCACGACTGGGGAAAGGAGTGCTATTGGAATTTAGTGGGTAGAGACTAGGATGCTGTTAAGTATCCTACAATGTGTAGGACAGCTCCCCTTTCCGCAACAAAGAATTATCCTGCCCAAACTATCAGCAGTGCCAAGGCTGAGAAACTCTGACATAGATAAACTGTATCTGGATATTGATATATAAGTATAAACATTTACATAAACACAGTATTTTTCCACTTAATATAGTTTGTTTATAACATTAAAAAAAATCCATGTTTAATTACACATAACTTGTCCTACATGCCAGCAATACAAAGTGTTGCATTAGTACCACCAAAACCAAAGGAATTGGTGAGTCCAATACATCTTTTCTCCATTTTCCATTCCTGTGCCTTTAGTGGAACATAATAGAGATCAAATTCTGGTTCAGTACAGTCCAGGTTTAAAGTAGGTGGCAGTTTCCGATAATAACAAGCCAGAGCAGTAAAAGCTGCCTCAACCACCCCTGCAGCTCCCAGCAGATGTCCCGTGGCCCCCTTAGTGGAGGAAACTGCAAGGGCGTGTGCGTGGTCTTTGAAAAGACGCTTGATAGCTCTGTTTTCAGCAGCATCTCCCAACGGTGTGGAAGTAGCGTGTGCGTTGACATAGGATATTTCCTCAAGTTGTACACATGCATCTTTTACAGCAGCAGCCATACATCTAATAAAATAAGAAAAGAAATTTATCAGAACTAAGTTTAATTTTAACATGGGATTCATTATCTGTATGGCTTATATGAAAGACATATCCAAGTACATTGAATGAAAAGAATCCTCTGCTCTAATAACAGAACCCCATTTTGGATTACCATGTGAGTCAGAAGGCCACCTGCACAGGAGTAATGAGTCATCCCCAGTACTATGGACTGATTCATCACCATGAGATAAACACACAAACCTATGGATTTTATAATCTCTAATAAACTATATTTCCATTTATTTGTATTGATTTTTTTCCTTGGGAAAAAAAAACATGTTGACTCAAGCCTAGAATAACTTTTCTTCTAGGAATTTTTTATCAGTGGGCTATGTGTAGGTGTAGAGATCTAAAACATGGACAAAAATTTTACAACCATGTTTTAATTTTTCCTTTCACATTTAAATGTAAAACTTCGCATATTTCCCAATAATCTAAAAATGTCTGCACCATTATTTCAGCGCTTCAAATAACCTTTCAAAATCCTCTTATTTAGGCTATAAAGATTCTAAATAAATGAAGAAGTACAAAGCCAAGCCAAAAAACAAACAAATAAATCCAAAAATAAAACATTTCTCTGGCAGAACCTTTAAAAATCTCACAGATGTCAACACTTTCTTTTTCAGTTCCTGATCTCTGGGCTGAGTGTATTTCCTTAAAAGGCAGCTCAGAGTAGAATTTGAAGTGCACTGGAAGGTTTCACCTAAACGTAACTATTTCTTCATCTAGCTGGCTACTATGCTTGACATTTCCAGCACCAGCAACTACTCACTAAACTCAAAAGTGTAATTCAGTGGTTGGTAAACTATGGCCCTGGCCAGATGCCTGTTTTGTAAACAGTCTCACTGGAACACAGCCATTCATTTATGTATTGTCTATGGCTGCTTTCGCACTAGAAGGCAGAGTAGAGTAGCAGTGACACAGATCCGACTGCCCATAAAGCCGAAAATATTTACTATTTGTCCCTTTACAGAAAAGGTTTGCCAACCTCTGGGTAATTTAACTGGTTAAAATGTAATATGATCTAAGCAGGCTAACCTATTAGCTAACACATTAACAGAGATTTTTTTTTTTCACTTAGCTCACTATCTCTTCCACAATAACAGCAATTTGCTTTTCAAATTGTGGTCCTCAGACCAGCAGCATCAACATCTCCTGGGAGCTTGTTAGAAATGCAGACTCTCAAGCACCACCCTAGACCTAGACAGAGTCATAATCTGCATTTTAATAAGATCTCTGGGTGATTAAAAGGTTGGGAAGTGCTGATTTAATAAAAGGAGAACCTTGCTGAAATGGAGTGGAGATGAGACACATCTAGAAGAAAGGGTTGACTTTACTGTCCAAGTCTGATGAAGGGCCGAAGAGGACGACTGTGGGAGGGAGCACTCTGACAGTCATTAAGCACAATTGGAGGTATGAAAAGTTGGCCAAGACACACATGGCCTTCTTCACAACTTTATTGTCCTTAACTAAAATCCAGTTTTTGTAAGGATGCGCAAATGCTTTCAAATATTTCAAACTTGTTGAAGCAAAGAATTCAAAAACACTTTGTTTAGTCTAAAATGGAAAAATGACAGAGATATCATACACCAAGGCCAGACACTACAATTTCTCTTAATTTGAGACTCCTATAAAATGCCTTATTTGAAGAAACATTTTGAATGAAACAACCAGTCTTTACCTTAAGGCACCTTCTCCTTCAGGATCGGGGGCGGTTATGTGACCAGCATCACCTGAGAGTCCGTAGCCCAAAACTTCGGCATACATCCGGGCCCCTCTTTGAACAGCATGTTCGTGTTCTTCCAGCACCAGCACAGCTGCACCTTCTCCCATGACAAAACCATCTCTCTTTGGATGAAATGGTCGACATGCCAACTTAGGATCAGAGTTTGTGCTCAGAGCACGGGCTCTGGAAAACCCAGCAAGAGATAAAGGGCTAATGCAAGAATCTGTACCTCCAGCCACCATCACATCAGCATCCCCATGGGCTATAAATCTAAAAGAGTCTCCCACAGCATGAGCTCCTGTGGTACAGGCTGTAGATACTGCATGGTTGGGGCCCTTGAGTTTATACCGAATGCTGACCTGGCCTGCTGCCATATTGACCAGAATCTTAGGGACGAAGAACGGGCTGACTTTATTGTAACCTTTTGCCTGAAACATCAAAGCAGTTTCAGAAACAACTTCAAGAGGAACCATTCCCATGCCAATTGCAACACCAGTAGCCACTTGATCAGCTTCTGACTGAGGATGCCAGCCGGAATCTTTCATGGCTAAGTCTGTAGCCCCAATGGCCATAACGGTGGGAGAAGACATGGACTTGATATCTGATTTGGACACAAAGTTTTGTTCATTGAACTGACCTTCGTCACAACCTCTTGGCACATAAGCAGCAACACTGCAAGGGATACTCTTATACTCTTCACCAACCAGTGAGACAATTCCACTCTCTCCTCGTAGAAGACGATCCCATACCAGTTGAGTTCCAACACCAAGAGGAGTCACTAAGCCAATGCCTGTAATGACAACCCGCCTACGCAATCTGGATGTTGGCACAGTTCCGAAAAACCTCCTTTTACTTCTTATTAATTGCTGGCATGATCTTGAATATAGAAGATGAAGGTTCGTAATTTTTAGGAAATTTTGCAAGCAGTTTGACAGCATGGTTGAGATTCAGACGATCAGAAACACATTCCTGTAACAGACCACAACACGCCCAAGAGGTACTCACTGTTGTTTAAATAGCTTACAGGCCTAAAAAACAATCGCGGAGGTGTTCTTTCAGGTGCTTGGTGTGAACTGTTAATGACCACAGGGAAAATAACGTTACATCATTTTAATTTATACTTATTATCAAAACATCTGTGTGGAGTTAACTCCTTTTTAGACTGTAAGTACCCTCAGACCTTCCAAGACAAAGAGGTGAAATGATTCATTCAATTTACCAAAATAGAATCATACGATGAAAAATACAAAGGCATTCGTAGCCTGATATGTGCTGCAGAAAACACCCTTTTTCAGGATTACCCTTATTGTAAATAGAATTTCTGGTGTCAAAGGCACAAAACACATTTCACGGCCTATTCTTTGAGACAGAGGTAAGTGGACCTTACTGATCTTCAGAAGGTGGAGATAATCAGGGTTTCAGGGACGACGAAGGCCAGGGGCGGGGAGTAAAAGGGGTGTGGCCAATTCCCCGCACCGCCTCTCAAGCACCGGCACACACAGCGAGGAAAGCATGGCCAGAGGAAAAGAAACCAGACCCCCGGCTATCACACTCCCCTCTACAGATCCCAAATCCCGACCCGATTCGGCTGGGGAGGGGCGGGAGAAGAGTAGCGAGCAGGCTATACCTTTAACAAGCTTCGCGCCGCCGCGCAGCCGCTGTCCTGGGCGACAATGTTGGCGTGCGCATGCGCATACGCAGGTCTGCAATGCGCACGCACACACACGCGTTACGTCGGAGCCGGCTTCAGCCGGTTGCCGTTCCTCCGCGTCACCTTGGCAGAGGTCGCACAGTGGGAGGCGGTTGGGGTCTCAGGTGTGCTTGGGGAAACTCGTGTTTCCTTATCTGAGTGACTCGAAGATAATGAAGAATATGCACATAACGCGATGAGACGGCAATTTTGCCCACCAAAAAGGGAAATTTTTTTTTGTAATGATAATGCCCAAATATTCCGCCCAAATGTTCCGCTGTTGTGGGAGAAGGGACACCACCATATTCCACTGGAAGAATTAAGGAAATTACGGCAGCGTCAAAGTTATTACTGTACCTCCCAAAGTTATTTATATAGTGGTGGAGTAGAACTAACCAAAATGCCCAACGTCAGGAAATTGGTGTGTATTTTGTGGTACCTCTAACTGCTGTGCAGCATCTTAAATAACTTTGTAAGTGAATATTTATTAATATGGAAAGATGTTGAAACTAGGTTGGGAGATCCATGTTAAACAGTATTATTCATTTTTTTAAAAACAGGTGTTTTTTTTTTTAAGGTCTGCAGGGATGCACAAGGGATGGTGATAGTCCCCACCCCCTTATTTTAGCTTAGTCTTATTTACTGCCTTTTCTACAATAAACAAACAATGCTTTTGAATAATAAAGTTATCTTTACTTTTAAGGAATTGTTGCTGGATCTGGGGCAGTGCTCAAAATATCATACCCAAGGTCTGACAAGAATGGAGACAAGAAGAGAGAAAAATGTAGACATTTATTTCTAAGTGTCTGAAAAAATGTAATAATTTTATTTGCTCAGAGCTGGCTGTGAATCTATATAAAAAAGTAAGAAAGGGGGCCAGCCCAATGCGCAAGCGGTTAAGCGTACTGTTCCGCTTCGGCGGGAGGGGGTGGGGGGGGGTGCTGTTCACACATACGGATCCCGGGCTTGCACCCATGCGCTGCTTGGCAAGCCATGCTGTGGTGGCGTCCCATATAAAGTGGAGGAAGATGGGCACGGATGTTAGCCCAGGGCCAGTCTTCCTTAGCAAAAAAAAAAGGAGGATTGGCATCGGATGTTAGCTCAGGGCTGATCTTCCTCACACACACGCACAAAAAAAGTAAGAAATGATCAAAATGGATTTATTTAGATGACCACCTATTGCTCACATGCTGTCCCAGGTGTGAGTTTTGTGTCCTTTTTCCTTCTTTAGATAAAGGATTGACCATATAATCTGCATCTGAACCTCCCAGCCATATTTCTTTCTTTCTGGGCAATGTCTCTTGAAGTGATGGTTTCCAGGTAGAGGGCTATGCCTTCTGTCCTAGCTCTAGAGAAGAATCTGAGCCAAGCTTAGTTTTTCCTGGTTAGTATTGGATTTAAATGAGTTTGGAAATTAATTTTGTCTAAAATAGTTCAGGGAAGCCCAGTATGACCTTGAGTCATCCTTGATCCAAGGCATACTCAGTCACTTCTTAGCATGACCTTCATTCAATGACAATAGAGGTACAATAGAGTTACAATAGAGGAATTAAAACACGTGGTTATAAAATAAAACTTGATGAGTGAGAAGTACCCAAACTTGCTTTCTCTTTTCATTGCTATATAATATTTTAAAATAATACTGTGAAAAGACCTACAATATTTGCTTTGAAGCCAAATTCATGTGAAACATAAGTCTTAATGTGCTGTTTCGTTTTTCTTTTGTAATATCAGAAAATTATTTTGGATAAGAAGTAACAAATCAATTAAAATCTTGTAGAAAAATTAAACCACCAAAAAGTCATTTCATTTTTATTTCTACCTCTGATCTCCTTTCCTTTGGTTTGGAAAGGGGTGGGAAATTTTATTATATTCTAATAGCTGTATATGATTTAGTGCCATATTCCTTGCTACAATACCATGGTGTTTTCTTGCACCAAAATCTGCAAAAGGGCTCCACTTACCATAGCCTCCTGTTCAGACTTCTTAGGTTTACTTAAATTTTTTGTAATCTGATTCAAAACTATCTTTCTAGATATAGCTCCCATTCTCTATTAAATAGATTTCTACCCAGCAAAACTGATCTTCTCACTATCTCTGGACTGACTTTAGCTTTTCTTTTTTCATCTCCGTATCTTTGCTTGTACTTTATTTTCTTCATCATTCATTTTCCTCCCACCTTGTGCTAGAAGCTGGCATACAAACATGAATAAGGTATGGTTCTTGCTTTCAAGAGGTTCATAGTCTAGGAGAGCAAGATAGCTGTGGAAACATGCAAACTACTGAAAGAGGTGCTATAATAGAATATAAGAATTATTATAATACAAAGGGGACAACTAGGTCAATACTACCTTCCAAAATCAGGAAAGGATTCAAAAAAGTGATCCTTGAACTGCATCTTGAAAATGAGTAAATGTTTGTCTAGTAAATTGAGTGGGAAGAGGCATCCTGACAGGTGGAATAGAACAAAGGCCTGAAGACATGGTATCTTCCACAAGCTGCTAGTAGTTTAACATGGCCAATGTTGGATTTGAGGTGTGGGACAAGGAAACAGTAAAAGCATGCAAGTAAAGCAGGGGGCGATCCCAAAAAGTCTGGGTGTCATGCTGAAGATTTTGGATTTGATTCTGTAGGTCAGAGATGATTTGCTGGCAGCCCTGGTCTAATTTGGAGTGCACTGATTCTAAATTCTTCTAGGAAAAATACAGTAAACTCTCTCATTCCCTTCACCAGGGTCTCTGCTACTCCTTTTTGTGTTGAATAAAGCCACTTCGTACCTCGAAGTTACCACCTGGCTCCTGACACCATCGACTTTAGAGTGTGGGCAAGCGGTAGCCATAGAAAACTTTTTACCAGAAGAATAACATGATCAGATGTGTGCTTCAGAAAGATCACTGTTGCAACAGCGTGCAAGGTGGATTGGAGGGATGCTGGAGTGGACATGGGAAGAGAGTTAAGACTGGACAAAAGATGATAAGGCCCTGACCTAAGGTAATGGCATGGTGGAGAGATGCAGGAGATGTTGAAGAAGAAACATTGCTAGGATGTTGTCCCTGGTTAAGTGTGGGGGGTTCTCCCACAGCTAGGAAGTCCTCCCCTTCCTCATCTCCTTAGCCTCCAAATTTAAGGGTTGTATTCAAATTCTTCCTTTTTCATGAAACTGCAGCCCACAGTGAAATTTTCCTTCCTCTAAATTAGTAGTTCACAAACTTTACGGTGCATCAAAATCACCAGAAGGGCTTGTTACTACACAGATTGCTGGGCCTCACTTTTAAAGATGGGGCTTGAGAATCGAAGTTTCTGAGAAGTTCCCTGGTGCTGCTGCTGAGGCTGGTGGTCTAACCACTGCTGTGAACTCATTATGACCTCCATGAAAGCAGGGCCTATGTTTATCTCCTTCACTGCTTCATAGTGCCTAGCACAGTGCATGGCATTTAGGAGCCACTTCATAAATATTTGGTGAATGAATGAATTATGGAATGAATGAATAAACACATACTCTTATATTGGCTAGTATACATGCACTGGTTTGTGCATTTCTTACCGAATGACTTTTGTTTTTCTTTTCACAATAACTTTGTTTCATCAACTAAAGGGCTATCTGTATGTAAGGTATTATCGTTAGTTTTGTCTTTCCGACTAGATTAAAAGTCTCTTATGTCCTCTAACTCAGACTGCTTTGCACACAACAGGTGCTCAATAAATAGTTGTTGGTTAATCACTTAATGCAATCACACACTAGTGAATTCCTGAAAGGCTTCAACCCCTCTCCTTGCTGATCGTCTTAATTGAGGTCAACATTTTCTTTTCTATGACAAAATTGATCCTGGAGAAAGTTTAATGGGTTACTACTTTTTTTTTTAGTCCATTTAAGAATAGTGCCACCATGTGTCAACTCTAAAGATGGTGTGCTTAATACAGCTAGAATCCTGAACAAAATTCATTGTTTTGGAGCAAAAATATATCATGTAGAAGAACAGGAAGTTCAAAGCTGATTTAATACTAAAACATCATTTTGTTGTTTGAAGCAATGGTTAGTATAAAGAGATTAAGGGTAGCTTAATATCTTCTACTTTTCTAAGGGAAACAAAAATCAAAATATTTTCAAATTGACTTAAGTGGCAGAAGCAGACAGAAAAGAATGAGTCAAAGTCCCTTATTATAATAAATTCCCTTAACAGCTTCATAAATGGTGGTATACAAAAGAGATTGTGGTTACTCAAGAACTTTAACAGAAGTATTGGTGAATTATAATTTGGAAGGATTTAAATTTCAGGTGATTTAAAATAAACAATAACTTACTGAATTACCCTTGAAATGATGACTTAATTTATGGACTGTACATTATTATTACAGTATTAACTGTATGGCATCGGTTTTCAAACTGTGGTTGCATGTTCCCCACAAAGGTACCCTAAGGTCATTATCTCTGTCAAGGGGAAGGCTGATCTGATGGCACTCTGTTCCTACCCCCCACGTACACTCCTGCTTCAATTTTAGAGCACCTCCACTTAGGTGTTTTGTATATACTGGGTTTCCTCCTACGGTCTTATTGGGAAAAAAGTGTTCTGTTGCTTTAAAAAACAAAAAATCATAAATACTATATAATATATAATAACCTTAACAATTATTATAAGGATAAATAAATGTGGTAATGGAAAAAAGAAACTCAAATTAAGGGGAATATAGTTTGTGGTAGAAACAGCTAGTATAACCCCAGCTCCCCAATCTTCCAGTTGTGGGTGGTGCCTGTCCAGCTAGGGACTACATTTCCCACCCTCCCCACCCCACCCCCCATTTTATCTAGATGGGGCTTAATTTTCACCAACCATATGATAGAGAAAATGGTGCATGTTATTTCTGGGCCCATGTGGTTTAGAAGCAGGTATGCCTTCTTTTTGCCCAACCACTACTAAATGCAGAAGTCTCTGAGGCTCTATGGCAGGAGTTAGCAAACCACAAGCCAAATTCAGCAGGCTACCAGTTTTTGTAAAGAAAGTTTCATTGGAACATAGCCATGCCCATTCATTTTACAGTACTGTCTATGGAACTACAACTGCAGGGGCAGAGTTAGCTTAACAGAGACCCTATGGCCACCAAGCCTCAAACATTTACTATCTGGCCCTTGAGGGAAAATGTTTGTTGACCTCTGTTCAACGGGATGGAAGGAGCCTGGGTCCCTGGAGGAAAGCTGCCCACTGACTAATGACACCTGCATTATTAAACTGTTATGTGAGAAAGAAAGAAATTTCTTATGTGGTAGGTCACTGAAAATTTTAGTTACAGCAGCTAGCAACTATTGGTTAAACACACTATTCTTGGAAGCTGATTCAAAAACCTACATACTAAAAACTTCATTTCTATCTGGCAGATGAATGGTAACTGACGTGGATGGCATAGCCCAGCATCTTGCTGAGAGATATTGAAAAGAAAATTTCAAATTTTAAAAGCAAACAGAGGATAAAGCATTAAGAAAATTTTAAAAAGCTACTTAGGCAAATAACTTACCTTAAAATCATAAGGTCAAGAAAAATATTTGTTGGGGCCGGCTCTGTGGCTTGGCGGTTGAGTGCGCGCGCTCTGATGCTGGCGGCCTGGGTTCGGATCCCGGGCGCGCCCCAAGGCACCTCTTCTCCGTCCAGCGCGAGGCCGAGTCCCACGTACAGCAACTAGAAGGATGTGAACCTATGACATACAACTATCTGCTGGGGCTTTGGGGGGAAAAAAATGAATAAATAAAATCTTTAAAAAAAAAAAAAAAAAGAAAAATATTTGTTGAGGTTTGGAAAGGAGTTTCTTCAAAGAAGGAAGCCATTGGTAAAGTACACTTGCAAGGGCATAGTGAGGCAGAGAAGGGATTCAAAATGTTAGGACTCATCTTCTAAGAGGAATAAAAGACAGTGATCAGATGATCTACCTGCAAAACAAATCACAAAATAAGACATACCCTTAAGTGGGATGCATATTTTTACATCGTCTTTCCTTTCCTCCCCATTCTATTCTTTGTCTTTATTGTGTATGTGTTTTATGCTGGTCGCCACAAGGTAAACTGAGTCCACAACCCACTATATTTCAACCCCTGGTCTGAAAAACACTTCTTTCAGAGGCACCATATTATTTGAGCTCAAGAAATTTTCAATCATTCATCCAATTCTAAAAAGAATCCATATACCAGAAAGCCAGCAGAGTTTATAGCCACGCATTTGTTTTCGAAAGTTTGTTGCACCTTCCTCTGGAGTCCCTCATCCACATCTATCTAGGAAGGCCTGACAATCTGCGAGGAGAAACTGTAAGACTGGTTTATTTGGGGGAATGGGGGTGGTTGGAAGTACAGGGGTTTTCCCCACCTTTGTGGCTGGACCACTTGCGGCCAGCCCTGGGGCGCGCAGGAACTCAAGTTTCTGCGACGTACCGCAGCACCCGCTCGCCCCGCCCCTCCCGGCCGAAGCCCTCGGCTCCTCCAGACCACCCCTCCCACCCAGCCCAGCCCCCAACCCCGCCCCCGGCCCTGACCACCGGACACCCCGCCCGTCCTGGCCAAAGCCACGCCCCCCCAGCCCTGCCGACCAAGCACCGCGCCCCTGCTGGTCGAAGCCCCGGGGCCTTGACAACCAAGCCTCTGCCCCTCCTGGTCGAAACACCCGACCTTCCCCATCAGCCCCAGCCCGCCCTGCCGAGGCCCCTGCTCCTCTCCAACAAGCTCCCGCCCCTCCCGACCAGGCCCCCGCCCCTCCCGAGCAGCCCTCCACCCCTCCTTGCCGAGCCCCCCAGCCCCTCTCTGCCGAGACCCTCCCTCCGGCCCCTCCCGACCAGCCCTCCACCGCTCCTAGCCGAGCCCCCAAGCCCCTGTGACCAGCCCCCCGCCCCTCCCTGCCGAGCCCTGCGCCCCTGGCGCGAAGCCCCCCGCCCTTTCGACCCCGCAGAGGCGGCCGCGCGCCGAGGCGCCTGCTCAGTGCGGGAGGCGGCGCGCGAGGGGCGGCGACGGCCGCGGGCGCTCAAGCATGGCGGCAGCGGCGCTGGGCAGCTCTTCGGGCTCCGCGTCGCCGGCCGTGGCCGAGCTCTGCCAGAACACCCCAGAGACCTTTCTGGAGGCTTCCAAGCTGTTGCTCACCTACGCGGACAACATCCTCAGGTGCGGGGCTGCGGGGTCGGGCGGGCGTGCCGGGACGCGGCGCCTGCTCGGCCGGGGTTGGGGGCGCCCGGCCCGAGCTCCAGAGGGCGGCGAGGCCCGGAGGGACGGGGCCCTGGGCCGGGCTCCGGCTCAGTGTCCGAGCCCGCCGGCCAGGGGCCCCGAGACCCCACCAGGCCCCACCCCCTCCCGAGAAGAGGAAGTTTCTTTGCACTTGTGACTCGGCACCTGATGGGGTGCTCAGGGGCGAGCTGGCGGTCCCGGGATGGGGCAGGGCGGCGGGCCGTGGGAGGGCGTGCCCCAGACCCTGGCCTCTGATGCGGGTGTTTGTCCCACGTGTCGGGAATAAACGATCACAGCGTCTCGTTCCCACTGCGCGGATTTTACCGAACAGGGTACCTTCAGTTTCCACATGCTGATCAGAAGTTAGTCACTGACAAAATGTTTTCTTGCCAGCCGTTTTGTGAATATCCTAATACTAAGTATATTACTGAAGTGGCGGTTTTTAAAATTTTTTATGATATTTTTCGGCCCATTTTTGTTGATTGAAACATTATTAACCATATTAAAGTTACAATTTTCATATTAATGTCTGTATTTTTCAAAATGAGCCTTTAAGAATTAGTGAAGATAAACACCTTGGATAAGAGTAATTTGTTTCCTTCTCCTGTGAGCAACAGTATGCTTCTAGGTCTCTAAGGGACCTTATCGATTTTGGGAATAGGGAGGCAAGTTTGATTATTCATTTTGAATCATTACTACCTAAACTCTTAGATCAAATGATGTGGTGTCTTAAGGAGGGACATGATGGGGGGGGTGGAACTGAGGTTAAAGGAGCTCCAGGTGCCAGGTACTTTAGTGGTGGTGCCTCATTTGTCAGGTCACCATGATTATCTAGGCTCTCTGTCCCCCCTCAACCTCTGGTACACTTGTTCTTCTAAGTGATGGGGATATTGGCATGAAGTCTAAAAGGAAATTTCTTTCGGTTTCAAGTTATAGATTTCACGGGACCCAATTTTAGAGACATTAGTTACAAGTGCGATGTTTTAACCCAGTTATATATAATATATATATATAATATATATAATATAATATCTTCGTATAGGTTCATATAGGTAACATTAATGATTTTACAAGTAAATTGAAGGAAAAACATTGAGCCCTTATGCGCCAGATGTTATGAAGAATGCAGCCTGTGCACTGTACACAGGTACATAATTGTGACCTATGTGGGACTGCCTTTCTCCTCTATGACACCTTCTCAACTCACCCTCTCTACCCTGAGAGGTCTAACGGCTCTTTGGAGCACAAGGATGCCAGTGGACCCTGCACAAATAGGCTGAGTTCTCCAGAGCCCATCTGCTGGGGCCTCCCACCTGGAAAGCCACCAAACTATTTAAACCCCACTATTCGGAAAAGGGAAGTGACCTTGTAATAAGGCTTCACTTCCACTTTCAATCCAGTGAGACCAAAAGTGCTAAGATCAAGGGGTTTTGAGGAAGGAAATCCTTTGCATACAAATATTGACTTGGCATCATCATCATCATTATGAGTGTTTACCAAACACATAGAAAAAACTTGGCATGCCATCAGTTCATTTACAGTCTTTACTTATGGCTTGTGTTTCTGATCCTAAAAAGTTTTTATCTAAAAAGGGAATAGGAGGGGCTGGCTCGATGGCACAAGCAGTTAAGTGCGTGCGCTCCGCTGCGGCGGCCCGAGGTTCGCTGGTTCGGATCCCCGGCGCGCACTGACGCAGTGCTTGGCAAGCCATGCTGTGGCAGCGTCCCATATAAAGTGGAGGAAGATGGGCACGGATGTTAGCCCAGGGCTAGTCTTTCTCAGCAAAAAAAGAGGAGGATTGGCAGATGTTAGCACAGGGCTGATCTCACAAAAAAAATAAAATGGGACTAGGAATCTGGAGCTCATATAGTTGGAGATGGTATGAAAAACTACCCTTTTTAGGTTGCCTTAAGTAATAGTATTAGTCCCTGCCCTCATCTTAGAATTCAAACTCCTTCAGGCTTCAGGAGGAAATAAAACCACCTTTTCTTCCCTTTCTGAGTCCAGTGATGTGTTAACCTCTCAACAGAAAAGTTTCAGATCTCGTCTTGATCCCTTACCACACTACATTACAGATCTGCTAATCCAACTTATTTGAGAGTAGAAGTTTTCTGTTTCTTTTGCTGTTTTGGGAAATCCATTAGCCGTAGAGATAAGGGACTGGGTAAGGGATGTTGTCTTGATATCCTTTTCTCCTACCTCGGGATCTGATATAGTATTTTATAGAATGAGTGCTGAAAGGAGAATTTCATTAGCAGATTTCTTTTTTTATTTAACAGCAATACTTGTCACTACACACAAGTGAAAATAATACTTTTGGTTGTTTTAAATTTCTGCTTCGGATGATGTTTATCCTGTTCCCCAACTAAATTACAGAATAAAATATCTGCTAATTTGCATGCGCAATATGCCATGGGTTTGAACCTTTTAACCTTTTTTTTTAGTTCATTGACTTCTAGATAAAGATGAGCTGTCCTCAATAATATCTACTTTCTCAAAAATCTGTAATAGTTTCACTGGCATTCCACATGGGTTTCCTAGATAATTTGCTCCATTCGTTCTTCAAAAAACATATTTGATTTTCCACTAATTTCCTTTGCAAACTGTGCACAGTTATTGGTTACAGACGGCACTGGGTATGATTGGGAAGAACCAAGAATGGAAAGTAGTTTCTTCCTTCAAAGAAAATAAATATGTTTGGGAAAAAGACACAGGTATGGAAAATAGCCACAACGTAAAATCTAGAGAATAATTCAGAGACACTGTTTAAGCACTTAACATGTTTATGTGAGGAGATAGCAGAGGGACCGAATGGTGGAACAGTTTTGAGAACAGAGATTTGATAAGGTAGGACTGGTTGATGGAGTAGCAGAGAATGTATATTTGACATGATAGGCAAGAGAAAGCGATTGTACTATCTGTCTCGACTCAAAGAGAAGGATAATGAAAGAGTTTCATGTAGAATAATGATGTAAGAAGGCATAAGGCATGATTTCATTTGTGAAGCTATTGCAGAATCGTAAGCATAAATGCAGGTAGAACGGAGAGAGGAGTGTTGTAGGCAGGGATTGGCAGTTCTTGATGACTAAATGTAAAGAATGGAACTGGTAATGGGAGGAGACAAACGAACCGAAATAACTTCAGATTTCTAGTCTAGGTTACTGTTGACACCTGGAGAAGTTGAGTGAGGGTAGTTAATTGAGGATCGGTGGGTTTGTTGGCATCTTGTATTGTGGAGAGTATGTAAGCTTTGTAATCAGACCAGTGAGTTTAAATCCCAGTCAACCATTTCCTAGGACTGTGATTATAGGCAATTTGTGTAAACTCTCTGGGCTTCAGTTTCCTCATTTTTAAGAGGAAAGAAAAATACCTACATAATAGGATTGTTGCAAAAGATAGAAATAAATAAAGGACCTGGCACATATGTTATCTATTGTTTCTATTCAGTTTTTCGTGTTAAACAAGCTAAGTTATGTGTATGTTTCCCTTATTGTCAGCTACACAGAATGGTAGGGCCAGTGATGGTTCTAAAGGCAGAGGGATGTTTTTGAAAAATTTACATGTATCTCAGAATAACAGATTTTCGGAAGGACCAGAAATAATTTTTAAAATGACCAACAGACCAACTTTTGTGGTTAGTACTAAAAATACAAGATTATTTGATGCACTCATGTACTGAGTTTCTATTTATGTGAACGCTTTCTGAGATTACACATTTTAAAGAGGAAGAGGACTAGCAAACAGTCAGACATTTAATTCTCAGCGTTTCTGAAATAGAAACATTTAAGCTTTTTTTTTCTGAGATGCTATGACTTCAGTGCGAGGCCTGTTGTTAACCTGTTTTAAAATCTTAGAAATATGGTAGATTATAACTTTTAAGGTGAAAAGCATGACTTTTTTCTACCATTCAATTATAAGAACAAAGACTAATTTTCCATAAGTTAAACAATTTGGTAGACACCTGGGGGTGAGATAACTTGGAAGACACCACAACATGTTCAAAGTGATGGTTAAGTGAGGTACAGGAGATTTTGCTGCCCTTTCAAGACCCCGTTTGTTCAGCAGCATCATTCAAAATCTGAAAAAGAAAATCTCAAGTGAAGTTGCAAAATAATTGCTAACAAGCAAGATAAACATTACAAGTTGCAGAAATAGTTACTGGTCAGCAGGGATAGGAAAAAACGCATGGAAGAGTTATAGGAAAAAATATTCAAGAAAAGTCTGCAGAGAAAATTAAGTTAATGGAAGAAGAAGATCAAGCAAAAATAAAGATGGTCCTTAGGGATACTTTAGACACTGCAGGCTAGGGAGGGTAGTAATGAGCTCAAGGATAGTGGACACACTGGAATGAGGCTATAAAGCTAAAGATTGAGAAAGTGTTTGTATGGCACTTTTCCAAGGGCAGGAAATGGGATCTGATGGATTTGAGGTCTGATGACTCTGTTGGCCAAGTTCTCTAAGCCTTTGAGGGCTTCAGGGGCGGACTTTTGGCATCAGTCTGTGCTCAAGACTATGGCTCGTCTGCTCAACATATTTAAAAAGAGGAAGATAGGATTTGGGTAACTAGACATTACTGTGATTTTTTGTTTTTTGTTTGCAATATGCTTTTAGTGAGAAAAATGGATAAATGATATGTGAGGTCTATAAATGTTGTAAAAAGATAGAAAATTGCTCACTGGAAACTAAAGAGGAAAATCTAAACTATACAGAGCCTATAGCAGAGCTTTATATCAAGTTACTTTGAAACACGCGTCGAAATAATAAGCTATATCAGAACAACTAATGTAAGTTTTATAAGAATTTTTAAACAGTGGTGAAAGAGGGAAGAAAAACTAGAAAATTAAGCCCAGTGAAAGACTTTGATCATATACAAATCTTGAAGTTTTGGGAAAAAATAGATTAAAATAGCTCAAGCAGTTTTGCACCAGTAGGATATATCATCATGGTGGTACTGAAATGTTTATTACCCTGTGGAATGTGTTAAATGTCATGAAAAGATGCCTCATTTGTCTATAACTAACTTTGATAAATGTAGGATTATTTTATAGTTTAATGTTTTTTATTTAAGTGGTAAGAAAGGGAGGTACACTTGTGATACAATGTGGCATAAAAGCCAGGGATGCTAAACATTTTGCTGTGCCCGTGGCAGCCCTCACAACAAAGGCCCTTAATGTCAGTAATGCCAAGGATGAGAAACCCTGAGCTGATGCACAGAATAAAAGTAGAACATATATTTTTCTTTGCATTTCTCAACTATCTGTTATTCTCAAATGACCTGTGGTAAAGAATAGTGTTTTTAATTTCCAACTCTTTGTGGACCTATAACTTTTGTAAAATACAACGAAAATTTCATTGTAATATCAAATTGCTGTAAAAATTTCTGAATAGTCTCACTTTCTGCACTTTTCGTGAGTAGGTACCAAAGAGTTTGTAGATTGGCACAAATCTGTGGACATTTTGAGTAACACTATTTTAGAGCTTTTGTCTCCGAGTATTCTGTAAGAAACTTTTATAGTTTTTGAAATTAAATAAAAGAGGTTTAAAAAGATGCGTGTAGTATTTATGACAGTTTCGCAACAGAGAGTTGCTTGATAGAAAAGGAATATGAAATTTGTTGAAACTTCCACAATTAAAAACCGGTTTGTTTGTTTTTTGGTTTTGTTTTTATATCACAATATCTAGAGAACATGTATAGTTAGGACCGAGATGGTTAATCAGGTACTAGCATTTGCCCCCCACCCTATTCCATACCCCAGGCAGATGGCCTCAGCACTTCTTCCTGTGGACCCCTGACACAGCCTCAGAATTCGTCTTAGTATAGAGCTAATGGAGCCATTACCATTTCAAGGGAGTTGGTATCAGATATGAAACCTCCTGCTTATCATCCTAAATTATGTTCTGAAAGTCTTTTGAGTATAATATTGTGATTATCTTAATCTTGTGTTTTCTTTCTGATTTTTTTTTTAAACAGCCTTTCTGATTTATCAAGGTTATTAAAAATCTCAAATCAAAGCTTTTCATGTACTGGTCTCATCCCATATATACTATTCAAAATCTTAATCATGGTAAAAGAAATTCACATCTTCATTTTATTTTATTACCATACTTGCTGTGACAAAAGTGTATCTTGAGCTGAAGCAGAACTTACAGTGAAACAAGTATTGGTCTAGGGAAGGAAGAAAATCAAGTGACTATCAAAGTGTACCTAGGTTCGTGTGTGTCAGGAGTAAAGTCTTTGAGAAACTGTGATCCATTTTTATGTAGCTTCTTAGTTTCTTTTGTTCATTCATTTCACAAGTATTTATTATTAACCACCATCTATGTGTCAGCCACTATTGTTGTTGATTGAGAACCATCAGAACAAAACAGGCAAAACCTTCCGCACCGTCTGGAGCTTACTTGGATTTTTTTCTTAGCACCCTAAAAACTCAAACAGGTATCGAGCGTTAACAGCACAGAATTAAAACGTCACGTGGATTTCCCTCTGGCAGTATCAATATTATTGGCTGTGAAGTTAAACAGTGAGGTTGTAGTAAATGTATACTGAGGTAAGCATTACAAAATCAGGCTACTTTTCTAGACTGTGCTTCCTCTTACTTTAAAGTTGGGATCCATACTACCTTGTAGAGGTATAGCCAGTATAAAATGTGAAAAGGAATGCAAAAACATTGTGAAAAATATAAATTGTTATATATAATCAAACCTTTTTTTTTTTAATCAGAAATCCTAACGATGAAAAATATAGATCTATCCGGATTGGAAACACAGCTTTTTCTACTAGACTCTTGCCCGTCAGAGGAGCCGTTGAATGTTTATTTGAAATGGGCTTTGAAGAGGTAAGTATGTTCAAGGGTTTCTTCTCCCCAGTTCATGTGCAAAGTAGTCATTGTAGTTTTGATGGATAATTATCTAAGATAATATTTTTTTATTAATTGATCATTTTTGAAATCTGTGGAACTAGTTGTTTCTTCACCTATTAGACATTTAAAAGTCACAATAAATATACTTTAAAATCACAAGAAAATACGACAACTCTCCCATAGGGAAAATTCTTTCTGAGAAGTCTCAGTCCTTTAGAATAGGTCGGTAAGCGTGCAACCCAAGGACCAAGTTGTGGCTCACTTTAGCAAAAATCTGATTTGTGAGCACACATGAATAGGGTCCAGCCACCTGTCTCCAGTAAGAAACAAAAAGCGTAAACACAGAAAAGCTGAGTTTAGTTGCCACAAATAAGTATTTTCTTCTATGACAGGAGAGAAGGATTTCTGTGTTGTTTTGTTTTTAGGTTAAAAGAAAAGTTTGGTGTTTCCATCTTCTGGAATCTTGTGGCATAGTTTAATTTTATGATACAATGAAAGTAGTTATCAAGATTGTGAATTTTCTTTATGTATGTAAGCTTAACCATTTCTAGTTTATAGACTATTGAAAGAAGTTGAACCAGGTTATGGAGACTCAATAGTCAGTAGAAGTCAGAATCGGCAAGGCTGTAGAAATTGTTAAAGAGATATGCTGAGTTGCTCTAGGATGCACTTTCCTTCCTGCCTCTCTGCTTCCCTCCCCAGATTCTGTTCCAGGCCCTAGAGATATAGTAGTGAACTATGTAGATGTAGATTCCATCTCACATGGAGCTTGTATGCTAATAGGTTAGACAGACAGTAGAGGTGAAAACAAAGATGAGCACGAAGAAGGAAATAGGACACTGTAATATAATAAAAAACAACTGTAGTGACAGGCAGCTACGTAAGAATGGGTGGTCAAGGAAGGCCTCTGAGGAGATAGTGTTTGAGCTGGAACCTGAGTAACAAGAAGCAGTTCAGGTACCTGAAGCTCAGGTAAGAGTATTTCAAGTGGAAGGATTCACATGTGCAAAGGGCTTCTAGCAGGAGTAGCACAGAAAGTAGCTACAGAGGCCGGCAGAGGCCAGGGCATGGGGTTTTGAGGACTGTGATAAAGACTTGGACCTCTTCTAAGTGAGATGGGAAGCCATTGGAAAGGGAAGGGAAGAATATTTTTAAAGATTACCCTCGCTGTTGTAAAGAGAATATTCTGGATATTCAGGGATGGGGGCAAGGGACAAAGCAGGGAGACCAGTTAGAAAGCATGTTAGTCTCAATGAGAAATGTTAGTGGTTTGTGTAAGTTCCGTGAAGGCAGGGCTTTTTGCCTATTTTGTTCCCTATGTCGTTAGTTCCTGGAATAGTGCTGGTGTATTAAAGACTCATAGCAGTGGAGATGGGGGAGAAGTAGAGGGATCCAGGATTTCTTTTTGAAGCAGAGTCTACAGGACTTGCTGGTGAATTGGATGTGGGGTATAAGGGAAAAGAAGGAATCAGGGATGACTTCTAGGTTTTGGTTGGAGCAACTAACTGGATGGGAATACTATTAATTGAGAATGAGAAACCTTGGAGAATAACAGATGTCAGGGGAGAAATCACTACCTATCTTTTGGATAATTATAACTGATATACCGTTAAATATTCAAATAGAGATGTCAGGTAGGTAGTTGGATATATGAGTCTGTAACTCAAAAGGAGAGGTCCAGCTGGAGGTATAAATTATGGTGTCATCTGCTTGTAGTTACAGATATCGGATACAGAGGATTTAAACCATAGAGGGGGAAAATTGAGAACACTGCTGATTTTGTTCAAGGAAATGCAGATTTTTGAGAGTTAAATGACAGGAAAATTGCGTAAATGACACCCAGAGACTGTACTAATTTCTCATTGTTGAAGTGTCACAGATTCAGTGGAATCAGATTTGCCTTTCATCCAGCAAATATTCGAGTGCCAGGTGGTGTGACGAACCGTCCCAGTTTGCCTGGGACTGGCCTGATTTTAGGACTGAAAGTCTCATATCCCAGAAAACCCCTCAGTCTCAGGCAGACCTGAAGGTTGGTCACACTGGTGCTAGGTAACAAGCCAGATTGAGACTTGCAGTAGTATTTGACGCAAATGGAGTCACAATTTCAGAAAAGATTAACATGTTTTGATAAGACTAATTTATACTTAAAGTTTCTGGTTGGCTTTGAACTTGACACTTAAGGACCTGTGGGAAAGTAATGGTTTCATCATTGGCTCAGTTGCAGGAGGAACCGGTGGAGCTGAAACTAAACTCTGCCACTAAAAGGAAACTTGGTGGGCTTTGATGAAGTAGGAATCTAAGACCTATCCCCAAATTTTCAACTGTAGATTAAAATCCTGGACACTTTTGGACCCACTAGTTTCTGATGCTGAGTTCTTTTTTATCAAAATTCTGAGAAGGAAGTTGAGAAAGATGGATCCAAGTGGATATGTGACCCATCAGGCTAGCTTAGTGGAGTGGTTCTCACCAGGAGCCATGCCCACCCTCCATCCATACCCTTGTCCCCCTCCTGAGGATGGGGCATTCGAGAAGGGCAGTTTTGATTGTCTTGGTGACTGAAAGATATTACCAGCATTTAGTGGGCAGGGGCCAGGTTTGCTTAACATCTGGCAATAAGAATCGTCTCAGCAAAAATGCATTGAGAAACACAGGTTTGTTAAATACTAGAATTCTCATCAAGTTCTTAAAATGTTATTGGATCTAGTGCATTAAGCCTGTAACTTTGTCCTTTTGTGAAAGTACGGTGCTGTTGATTAAACTTTTTTGGTACAGACATTTTGGCTATAGTCATGTTCTTTTAGGACTGGTCCTGAAAAGATAGAAGGGAAGGAAGCAAGGCATGAGCAGCATCTCTGTCTTACCAGGCCCTCTCTGAGGTGTGGACTGAGACATAGATCCAGACACCTGTCACGCTATTTTTCCATCTGTGTCCATGGTGTCATCTACCTTTCTCAGTGCTACACTAACAGTATGAGATCAGAAGCCTCCATATTGGATTTTAAACCAGATGTCTGGTTTCTCTTTCCAGACTTCGTCATAGATGTGAGGTGGTTCCTTCTAATGTTGGAAAAGTCATTGTGTTCCAATTTGTGCCAGTCATTATAACAGTAGAAATGTTCTGTTTTTGCTCAACCCTTCCAACTGTTTGCACAAGCTTGTGGTTTTGGATCTTTGTTCAGTCTAAGATGGAGTCAGTTATAACCTAACAATTAAGGTCATGCAGTTTGAATCCTTGCTCTGACAATTCTGTAGCATCAGGCAAGTTATTTAACTTCTCTGAGCCTTCATATTTTCATATAAAAAGTGGGGATAAACCTAATACTTACCTTTCAGGGTGATTGTGAGAAGTACTTAAGATAGTATATGTGTATGTAAAATGCTTAGCACAGTACATAGAACACATTAAACACAATAAATGGTAGTAGTCTTTTTTGCAGCTATTATGGGTAATATATGCAGCTTGCTGGCCTCCTCCAGCTTTTTAAAAAGGATTGATATAGAATTGATTTTCATGTCATTAATGAGTAATGTCTTGGTCACTTGAATCCTGTAGGTCTACCATCACCAGGAAAATAAGGTCATTCTCAATTGTGGAGTTTAATTTAAATGCTCACAATTTACAAGTCTGTCTGCCACATGTCATAACCGTTTTATCTCATTTGCAGTAGTTGGAATTACTGTTTTAACACTGTTGCTTCTCAACACCTTGAAACTTCATTGAATATATTTTCATTTCACTTTTTTTATCGTTTTGTACTTTGCTGACTGTTTTACATTGTGAGCTTATTATAATGTTTATTGTATCTCAAAGTACTCTGATTATATTATGGGTATTCATTAAATGAATCACTACTTAAAGAACTGGATTTTTATTGTTTGATTTTTTGTTTTGTTTGGACCACCTTTGTATTACTGTTAACAACCCATAGTTTTGAATTGACCATCAAGGTATATTTTTGTTGTCTTGGGAGAATTAGTGGATCCCATATGCAGATATCTAATCATGTAGCTATTCTTTAAAGACTTGGGTTTAGAAGATTCGAAGGTTATTATATAGCTTCATATTGTTTTTATGTGACCCATGATCATTTTGTATGGCTGTATCTCTAGTATCATTATTATTTCATAGGGAATTTCATAGAGAATAGTAGTATCGTATACGATTGCAAAGAAGATAGGAATGTCATTTGTGCAATTCTTATGAGGCTTTCTGACTTATTATTCCTAAAAGATAAAATATTTTACTAAGATCCTTTGAACTAATGAAATAGGCTAAGCATTATATGTTAACAAGAGACAAGTTTTCTTAATTTTCTGGTTTGTTAGCCATTACTTTTGACTGTATAAAAAAAAGTGCCATAACGGTAAGAAAACAGAATGATTGTAAAAATATGATGTATTCTGTAGTATTGGCTTCATTTTATATATATATATATATATATATATGAATGACAATATAAAACAAAGGTTAAAATTTTTCCTAATTTTATAAATTCCAGGGAGAAACACATCTTATCTTTCCTAAAAAAGCTTCAGTGGAGCAGCTGCAAAAAATTCGTGACCTGATTGCCATAGAGAGAAGTAGCAGATTAGATGGATCAAATAAGAGCCACAAAGTAGAATTACCTCAGCAACCTGCAACCAGTACCCCGCTTCCTACAACACAGTCTTCAAATCCTAATGGGTTAACCCAGCATGCAGGGAACAGTGAAGGGCAGTCATCAAATCCGCTGTCTGCTCCAATGGTAATGTTACAATTAAACCTTCCTTAACTGTTCCTTTCAAAGTGTTGAAAGAGCAAAAACTTTGATATATGTTATGATTTGTTTCTGAATTTATGCCCAAGTTATTCTGGGTTCTTATAATTCTGATACATTTAAATTTCCTCAGCTCTTTATATAACTCAAATTTGTAATAAAAGTGGGGAAAATGGCTCTCTTTTATTTATACTTTTAAATCTTAACTTGTGGTTTATTGCTTCTGAGGCAGCCTAAGTTTTGTTTAATTTATCATTTGTAAATGTATCTGTTGTCTTGGTACTTAAATCAGTTACATAAATTAGCATATGTCTTTAACCTAAAACAAAGTAATGGACTTGCTGGACAGAGGTATGGCCATTAAATAAGATTTCCTCTACTGCACTGACACTTCTGATCTAAATTTTACCTGCTGCCATTAACCATGGGGATTATTAATTCCAACAACCTAACCATTATCAATGCCTCAATTTAATAAAAAATCAGCTTCTTTAGGTTTAAGGTAAATAATAATGCATTAATTTACTGATAGTGGTGCTAGCAAATTAATGAAGTTTAGTTATTAGAATATATAGATAGATACTTCTGAAGAACTGAAATCAAACTTCTGATGTCTTACAGGTGTTCTTGGTACACCTGAATGATCTCGTATGAGGAAATTGTCGTGTTTACAAAAGTCCCTTTTGATAAAGGTCCTTAAGTATTCTAAATTTTCACTGTCAGAAAAATCTTTTTGATTTTTTTATAGCAATTTTATTAGTAGCCAGCTTAAACTTAAATCCTCATTTTAATTTTGGTAAAACACTTTGTCACCATCCTCCATATAGCAGAACTTTATATACAGTCAGTTATTAAATCTACCCTTAATTTTCTCCAGCTGAATAATTCCAGAGCCTTGAACCTCACCTCCCTAGTAGTCAAATGATTGGCAGTCATTCCTTTGTGAAGGCTGAGAGGGCCAAAAGATTGTTGTTGTTAAAAATTTAAGAATAAAGGTGGTAGGGGCTGTCAGGGGAAGAGTCAGAGAGTTACTGTCCTTTTATGTAATTGTTGTTGAGTGGTTTCCAAACCTTTTTCGTGGAGGATTAGCTCTTCTAAAACATATTCCTTGGTGCCTCAATTGACTTTGGTTAACCTTTAAGTCTTTAAAATATTTTCTCCTCTCATTAGCTTCACAGCTGATGTCTATTTATAATAATAATAAATGCAGCTAGTGTTTATGAATGCTTCTGAGAAACTGTTACTGGATACTGTTGGATCAGCTGGTGATGATGCTAAGTGGCTGTGGGCTGAGATAGCATATGAGAAAGCTTTTTTTTGTGTGTGTGTTGCAATATCTATCAAGGTCTGTATTTTGTTTATTGCAGTAACATTGGTTTATGACATTGTAAAAATTTCAGGTGTACATCATTGCACTTCTATTTCTGCATAGATTTGAAAACCACAAAAGACTTTAAATGTTCCCCCTTGGTAATCATAGTTCTTTGTGTAAAGTATCTGGGCTGCTTCATTGAGTACAAAGTTATCACAGAGTAACAGGAAAGTGGGACTACTGAACCTGAATGTGACAGAATACTAACCTTAGTCACTCCGTTCCTTAGAACAGTGGTGTCCCACTCTTTTGATTGTACATCTTACCAGTAGTAAAATGTTAAGTACATGACCCAATAAGTGTCTATTTACTTATAAATTATATGCTTCTATACTAATATATTATGTACCTTATAGAAAATCATGTAAAAAAGGGTGAAATAAAAAGTAGATCTGAGATGCACCCCAGTAGATTCTTTTGTGCCCCTCTCTGAGAATGTGTATTCCACCTTGGAATACCTGAGGTCTTCATCAGTTTTGCTATTAAGGTTGATTTAGATATAGAAGCATATTTAATCTCTTCGTGGGCTTTTACCACCTTTTCTTATCAGTTTTCTAATTAAAGTGTTAGAATATATCTTTTAAGATTCCCTGCTTTATCTTTTGTTGAATCTCAGTATGACAGTTTAAAATGGACAGTGTTAACCAGTCTTATAGAAAAGCATATAATGCATGAAAACATTTTATTTTACAAAATAGCTCTTTCCTGAACTAAGTAGTATTTTGTTAGGGTTCTGACTTAGGAAATTCATTCACATCTTCTGAATCTTCTTTTACTTCTTTCCTTTTTTTGATTCCTATCCTGGCAATTCAGATATAGTTTGAGGTCTTTAAAACTCTAATTACCAGAAAGCCTCTGGATACTACACTAAAAACAAAATGTCATTGTATTGCCAAAGCAAATTTAGAGTTTAGAAGAAAATAAACTATCTTTCTCAAAGACATATGCTCTTAGTAGGCTAGTGTATGTCAACTTTTACTTCTCTAGTACTTGGGACAAAGTATCTTTTTGTGTGTTCTTTAAGGGATGTTCTTTAAGGGAAACAAGAATGAATCTTGTTTTTTATAGCCAACTCGTGGTTATCCATGGATCACTGGAATACACATTTTTAAAAAGTATTTAGTTATTTAAGCTTTTATCACCACTAGTTTGTATACTTCAGAATTTGACAGTTAATGTTCTCCTGCCTTGCCCTTTGAGTAGGGATACTAATTGAGAATTAAAATGGATCAAAGTCAAGCAGCAGGAGAGAGATTAAAAAAGCATTTAACCTGTGTATAAAGTAGACAAATCTTGAGCACTAATGAGCTTCCTAACTATTATAATATTTCTTTGGTTAAAACTATATCAAGTAAAATTTTGAAATATAAGACAAGGTGATAGTCACTGATGTTGAAGCTTGGCAGTAAGCTTTTCCTTAAGATATAAAATACTGGAATGTATTGGTACTCAATAAATGCTGATGGTTGTTAGAAACTTATTTTGCTGCCTTTTTTGGTTATTTTATGTAAATAGAATTATACAATATGTAGTCTTTTGCTTCCAGCCTCTTTTGCTTTGTATGTTTTTGAAGTGTATCCATATTGTAGGATGTATCAGTATTTTGAGTATTCCATGATAGGCATTTGGGTTGGTTCCCATGTTTGCCTATTATGAATAATGCTGCTATGATCATTCACATACAAGGCTCTGTGTGGACATATGTTTTCATTTCTCTTGGGTAGATTCCTAGGAGTGGAACCACTGGGTTTTATGGTAAGTTTATGTTTAATGTTTTAAGAAATTGCAAGCTGTTTTCCAAACTTGCTACACACCATTTTACATTCTCACCAGCAGTGTGTGAAGGTCCAATTTCTCAATATCCTCACCCACACTTTTTATTGTCTTTTGTAGCATAGCCATTTTAGTAGATATTAAAGTAGTAACTCATTGTGGCTTTAATTTGCATTTCCCTAATCACCCAACTGATTTTTAAATTTGCTAGTTATACATGCTGAGTTTTTAGCTTCCTGATAACCCTTTTATGTTTTTTATACCCTTTGCCTTCTGAAAGCAGATTCAAAATAGCAGACAGTTTTTCAGACATAGAGCCTCACAATGTTAGATGCATTATGTTTCCAATTTTGCAACTTTATCTAGTTTGAAAAGGTGATTCTGAAGTATGATTTGCTTAAAATAAGCATTCAGCAGTTATTACACAGCTAGTCTAAATGTATGCTTTTATTTTGCATGACTACTTTTAGAATGTTTATGAAATTGTTAGACTTTTCATCAACTCTCTTATCACTCTATAAATTATTGCCCATTGTGTATATGGGTATGGATGTATTTATTTAAAAGAATTATCATTTGAGATTATTTCATTGAAATTTTTTATAAAAATAATATAGTAGTATTAGATAATGATAAATAATAAAATGAGTTAGTTACTTTTTAAACTAATTTAATCTCATAAAACAATGTTAGTCTCGATCTATATGTGATCTTTGTAAGAGAAGAAATCTATTTGGAAGTAAGATTTAAATGTCTAATTTCCTGTTCATGAATCTACCATTGATTTTTTTTTTTCTGTGAGGAAGATCAGCCCTGAGCTAACATCCGTGCTAATCCTCCTCTTTTTGCTGAGGAGGACTGGCTCTGAGCTAACATCTATTGCCAGTCCTCCTGCATTTTTTTCCCCCAAAGCCCCAGTAGATAGTTGTATGTCATAGCTGCACATCCTTCTAGTTGCTGTATGTGGGAAGCGGCCTCAGCATGGCCAGAGAAGCGGTGCGTCGGTGCGCCGCCAGGCCAGTAGTGGATCGCCTGCACTTAACCGCTAAGCCAGGGGCCGGCCCAAACCTACCATTCTTAAAGGTGAAATATGCCTACATACCTTTCAATAGGGGATTACTTAAATTAGGACACATCCTTAAATCAGCAGTCTTAGCATTTGTTAAAAATGATGATGTGGTCTATTTTGACATAAAGAGAATTATTTTGTGGGAAAAAAGATGAACTGAGAATTCCATAATTAAACAATATATGTTGTGTGTATGTGTATAATATTTCAATTTTTCTTATGAAAAAAGAAGGTCTAAAAGCTACACATAGATGTCTTAGCCATAATTGCCTGTGAGTAGTGAAATTATGGGTGATTTCATATTATTTGTACCATTCGGTGTTTCCTGAAATTGTTTTTTTCAAGATTTGTTACTTTTATAAATAGAAAAAAAGGTTTTTTGTAAGAAATATAAGTTTACTGAAGTCACAAGTTGATTAAAACTATCATTAAAAATTTATTAAAAAGAACCTTTGTTTTTAATTTTCTAGGTTCTAAATTTAAAAGCCACAAAACCAAAGGGTTGAATAATGGTAGAAAGAGGGCTAGCGGGCTTGGGAAGCTTTGGTTCTTTACTAAAGAAGTAAATTTGTTAATCCAGCTTCCACTGGTTATATCACATGATTTGACAAAATACACACCTTGTACTTTTTTCTCTTAAAGAGTCTTAAGATATATCTCACATTAGAAACCAAAATAATTGGAATCCAAGTATGATTAGTGAAGAAAAAATTTTTTTGATCTAAAACAGATTTCACATTTTAAACTTCCGTTTGTACTCCAAATAACTGTAAC